AAGAATATTACAAACTATTTTCCAGAATAGCTGTGTCAGTTCACATTTCCAGCAGCACTGTACGAGAGATCCAGTTTCTCTGCATCCTTGCCAGTATTTGGTATTGTTACTATTTTGCTTTAGCTGTACTATTAGGTGTGTAGTGCTATCTCATCATGGTCTTAATTTGCATTTGCCTGATGGCTAGTGATGTTAGATATCTTTTCATGTGCTCATTTGCCATCTATATACCCTCTTCAGTGAAATTTTTCTTCATGCATTTTTTCCACTTTTGAATTACACACACACACACACACACACACACACAATCGGTAAAATAGGTGGTTTGGAAATATTTTCTCCCAGTCTGGAGCTTGTCTTTTTATTCTCTTGACAAGGTCTTTTGCATAGCAAAATTTTTTAATTTTGATGAAGTCTAGTTTGTCATTTTTTTCTTTTATGTATTGTGCCTTTGGTGTCATGTCCAAGAATTCTTCATGAAGCTCTAGGTCCTGAAAATTTTCTCCTATGTTTTCTTCTAAAAGTTTTAGTTTTACATTTAAAGCTATGATCTATTTTAAGCTACTTCTTTAATAAGATAAGAGGTTTAGGTTGAGGTTTATTTTTCCCATGGGCGTCCCACTGCTCCAGCACCATTTATCGAAAAGGCTATCCTTTGTACATTGGAGTGCTTTTGAATCTTCATAAAAAATCAGTTGGATAGATTTCTTTTAAAAATGTTTTATTTATTTATTCTTAGAGAGAGGGGAAGGGAGAGAGAAAGAGAGGAAAAGAAACATTGATGTGAGAGAGAAGCATCGATCAATTTCCTTCTGCACGCACCCCAGCTAAGGACTGGGATGCAACCCAGGCATATGACCGGATCGAGAATCGAACAGGTGACCTTTTGGTTTGCAGGATGATGCCCAACCAAATGTACTATACTAGTAGGGGCAGATATATTTCTTTGGATCTATTTTTGCATTCTCTATTCTGTTCCTTTGATATGTGTGTCTATTCTTCCACCAGTACAACACAATCTTGATTACTGTATCTATATAAGAGGAGTGATTCCTAATTTATTCTTTTTTTCAAAATTGTTTTAGCTATTCCATTTCCTTTGTATTTCCATATAGATTATAGAATAAGCTTGTATATTTAAAAAACAAAACAAAACAGAATTGTGCTGTGCCCTGGCTGGGTGGCTCAGTTGATTGGAGTGTCATCTCATATACCAAAAAGTTGTGGGTTAGATTTTTGGCTAGGACACATACCTAGGTTTTGGGTTTTATCCCCAGTTGGAGTGTGTCCGGGAGGCAACTGATTGAGGTTTCTCTCTCACTTCTATGTTTCTCTCTTTCTCTCTCAAATTAATAAACATATCTTCAGGTGACGATTAAAAATGAAACAAAACAAAATCATGTTGTGATTTTTAGAAAAATTGCATTAAACCTATATATCAAGTAGGTAAGAACTGACATCTTTACTGTTGAATCTTCCAGTACATGAACATGGTATAGCTCCTCTTCAGTTTTTTAGATCTTTGATTTCTTTTATCAGCATTTTCTAGTTTTCAGGATGTTTTATTAGATTTATTCCTAAGTATTTTATTTTATTGAGCTATTGCCTATTGTAAATGAAAATTTATTTTTCAGTTTCCACATATTCATTGCCAATGTATAGAAATACAACTGATTTTTTATGTCACTCTATTATACAACCTTGTCGATTCACTTGTTTGTTCTGTGAGGTGCTTCTTCTTCTTCTTCTTCTTCTTCTTTTTAGATTCCCTGGGATTTTCTACATAGACCATCATGTCCCCTTGCAACCTGTATGCCTGTCATCCTTCTTCCTCCCTCCCTCCCTCCCTTCCTTCGTTCCTTCGTTCCTTTCTCTTTTTTTTTCCTCTCTTTTAAATCCTCACCCGAGGATATTTTTTTTTTCTTTTTTTTCAGAGACAGGAGGGAGAGGGAGGGGTCAGAGGAGAGAGAGAGAAAGAGAGAAACATCAATTGATTGCCTCTCATAGGCTCTCCTACTGGAAATGAAACCTGCAACCTAGGTGTGTGCCCTGGCTGGGAACTGAACCCACAACCTTTCAGTGTATAGGGCAACTAACTCACACAGGCCAGGGCTTATTTCATTTTCTTATCCTTTACTTAAGTGCTACCTAAGACTTCTAGTACTATGTTAAATAAGAGTGGTAAACACAGACCTCTTTGCCTCATTCCCAATCTTAAAGGTGAAACATTCAGTCCTTTACTCTTTAAAAGTAATGTTAGCTGTAGGTTTTATCATGAACGGATGTTGGGCTTAATAAAATGCTTATTCTGCTTTAGTTGATACGTTTATGTTACTTTTTCTCCAGCTTTTTAATATGGGGAATTATTTTAATAATTATTAAGTTTTGAACCAACCTCGCATCTTCAAAATAAACCTCACTGTATTATATCATGGTTTATAGTTCTTTTTGAATTATATTTGTTAATATTATATTAAGATTCTTTTAAAAATCTATATGCATGAGGGATGTTGGTCTTTAGTTTCCTTTTTTTGGCCTCATAAAATGAGTTGGTAAGAGTTTCCTTTCCTTATATTTTCTGGAAAAGATTATATAGAATTGACATTAATTCTTCTTTAAATATTTGGTACAATTATCCAGTAAAACCATCCAGGCCTAGTGATTACTTTTTCAGCTTTAAATGTCTTTCATAGTTTCAGGGCCATTTAAATTGTTTACTTCACATTAGATTGTGGTAGTTGTGCTTTTTAAGAAATTAGTCCATTTCTTCTAATTATTCAGATTTATGTATGTAAACTTTTTCATAGTATTCTCTTATTATCCTTCAGATGTCTACGAGGTCTCTAGTGACATTCCTTGTTTTATTTCTGATATTGAGTTACATCTTCTCTATTTTTTGGTCTATCTTACTAGAGGTTTGTCAATTTTATAGATCATTTCAAAGAATTAGCTTTTTGTTTCAACATATTTCTGTTTTCAATTTTATTGATTCATGCTCTTTATCATTTCCTATCTTCAGCTTGTTTTTGGGTTTATTTTGCTATTCTTTTTCTAGTTTCTTGGGGAAGAGCTTATATTACTAATTTGAAACACTTACTATTCTAATTTAGTGTTATAAAATATCCTTGTTGGCTTTAGCTGGATCCCACAAACTTTGACATGTTGTATTTTAATTTTTATTCATTTAAAAAATATCCCTTGATATTTCTTCTTTGACCCATGAATTATTTAGAAAAGTGTTGTTTAGTGTCCAAGTGTTTGGAGATTTTCCTGTTATCTTTGTTATTGATTTCTAGTTTGATTCCATTGTGGTTAGAGAATATACTGTGTATAACTTCAATTCTTTCAAAGTTGCTGAAGTTTCTTTTATGGCCCAGGATATGGTCTACTTTTCTATGTGTTCTATGGATGCTTGAAAAGAATCTGTACTCTCCTATTGTTGGGTGGAGTATTCTGTAAATGGTTAATGTTTTTCTGCACCCTTGTTGATTTTCTCTCTAGTTGTTCTGTCAACTTTCAAGAGAAGGGCACTGAAATCTCCAACTATAATTCTGGATTTGTCTTCTTTCAGTTTTATCAGTTTTTGTTTCACATATTTCACAGCTCTGTTGTTTGGTGGTGGATATGCATAGCATAGGGTTGCTATGTCTTCATGTTGGATTGACTCTTTTATCCCCTTTTATGTTCATAAGTACTTGTTAAAGCATTTTATGATAGCTGCTTAAAAATATTTTTTAGATAATTCTAACATCTGTGTCATTTCAGTACTGGTGTCTGTTGTGTTCTTATTCAAGTTGAGATTTTATTGGGTTTTTGATATGATGAGTGATTTTTTTTGTTGTTTTCTGGACACTTGGGGTATTATGTTATAAAATCCCAGATCTTCTTTAAATCTTCAGCTTTAGCAGCGCTCCTCTGACACTGTGCCAAATGGGGAAAGTGAAGTTTCCAGATAATTATTGCCAGGTGGGGTGTGACTCTATTTGGTGTCTCTTTACAACCCAGAAGAGAGGGTGCTGTGTTATTTCTGGGTAGGGGTAAAAGTTTAGTCTCTCTACATGGCGCCCACTGACACTCTGGGAATGGGGAAGCTACATAACCGTCAGGTGGGCATAAAAGCCCTGCTTTTCCAGTAGGCCTTCATTGACACCACCCTGCCTTGGAAATAAGGTGCCTCACTAGTGTTCCCCACATGACCTTCACTCTGCCTTCTCCTATACCACCGCAACGGAAGAGATAACTTGTTAATGTTATGTAGGAAGGTGGGAGTTCAGGCTCTCACATAAATGCCATGGATAATAGGGAAAGGAGGTCTTGTTTCCACCAGGTAGAGGTGATTGTCCTGGATCTTTGATAGGCCTTCTTTGATTATCTCAACAGCAAGCTGTCTCAGGAAGGAGATACCCTAGAATCTGAAGTCTTTCTGATACCTGTGATTCTGAACTTTGTATACGGGATAAAGTCATGGTTTGGAAATATGTGAGAAAAAGAGAAAGTTGTCAATGTGTGAGGGAGCTTGGTAAAAGCGCTGCCCCTGACTCAGCCTTTGCCTCCTGAAACTCTGTGTAAAACTGTAAAGAATACATTTTCGTGTCTCTACACAGTTAGGGCTATCTGAGCAAAGAAAATTGGAACCTGGTTTAAAGCACAAGTCTTGACTATTCACTTGAATAGCAAGAGACTTCTGAAGAAATTTAGAGACTTATTTCCCTATTCTTGCATTTTAAAGGGGTATGTGTAAAAGGAGTCAGTTGCTTATATCCCAGAGGTATGTAAATGCCAAGGTTTCTCTCAGGAGTGAAGGGGGGAAACATGTCTATTTAAACTCCCATATAAATAATTTTGGGGTTTCCCTTATTTTCAGGATGAAATCGGGCTCTCGTTGTGTTGTTTCTTGGGTACTGGGTATGGGAACAGGCACAATTATTGCTGTAAATAATAATAGCGGTGATACGAGGTTTCTAGAGCAGAATAAAATGAACAAATATAGATATACTTACCACAAATGGGAGGATGCACTCGTGCTGATTTTGTACCATGTATAAGCTGAAGAGGGACATGCGGCTGGGGCCCATCAAGCTGCAGGCTAGAGAGAAAAAGTTCTGCAGAGCCTCACAGAGGTTGGAGCAGATGTCAGCCCAGGATGGTAGAGAGATGTGCACAATGAGAAGCCTCGGAGGTTGCTGGTAAATCTGTGCTGGAGTGGGGGCCCCTTTGCCAGTGGTTTGTCCATGATACATGGCAGCCAGACCAGAGGCGGACCTGTAGCCACCACCTGGTTATTCTCTACACCTGTAGGGAGGAAAGAGAAATTCCTGGTTTTTGTAAAACTGTGTTATATGCTCTGTTGAAACAGACAGTCCAGAAAGGAGTCACCAAATACTAAGTCAAGGTCCTCAATGCAGGCTATCCCATAATTTTTTTAAGTGTATGATTCCATTTATGGTCAATATCCAGAACAGACAAATCCGCAGAGGCAGAGTAAATTAATGGTTGTGAGAGGCTGAGGGAAGAGGGAAATTGAGAATGACTGCTAATGGATGAAGTATTTCTTTTAGGGGGATGAACACATCCTGGCATAATAGAATGTAATGGATGCCCACACTCGTGCATACAGTAAAAACCACTGATTTATACACCTGAAAATAATGAATGTTTTGGAAGTCTATCCCATCTTAATAGCTCTCAAGAGATCTGACATTTGCCTGTAATGTAAGACTGAGAATGCTTAGAGATGCTGAACAGAACTATCCAAAAAGTTACACAAAACTTAATTTCAGTCCCAGAGTAAGCTATCTCCCCTCATAAACTTTATTAGCATTTATTGTGCTGTATAGTAATTTGTTTCTATGAGCACCTCTTCCACTATATTGTGAGTTTCCTAAGGGTGGATCACCTGTTTTGTCAACTTTATTTATGAGTGCTTAGCACATTTTTTTTGTACATAGTAATTCTTAAAAATGAAAATATGACCACATTCCCCCCTTCAAGACCAGTTCAAGACCCTTCCTGACTTGACCTTTGGCTTTATTGGTCAAATTCCTAGAAAAATACATAAAATACTAAATAAAAAGAATATTTAAAAACTTAAATGCTCTATAACCATTGAAGAAACAATTGGTAGTCAAATATCTTTTCACAAAGTAAACAACAGGGTCAGATGATTTCCCTGATGAGTTCCAAGAAACTCTCAAAGACCAAGAATTTTAATATCAACTTCTTTCAGAGAACAGGAGAGGGAACATTGCTCAACTAATTTTACTAGGTTAGCATAGCCTTTGATATAAAAATCAAATAAGAGAATTATAAGAAAAAAATTATAGGATGATCTCATTCATGAATTTAGATGTAACAATCCTAAACAACATATAAGCAAATTGAAAAGAGTGATATATGAAAAGAATTATGAAAGAAATAAAACTCATTGTTTGCAGATGATATGATTGTATACATAGAAAATATAAAATAATTTAGTTTTATCTTCTTCAAAAGGTCTTCTCCCATTTTATTAAATTTTATTCTTTGTGATTTGCTAATTTTAATATTAATTACATGACACCTTTTTAAATTTTGTTTTTAGTTTGTTGCTAATGCCTAGAAATGTAATTGATATCTGTATAATGATTTTGTATTTAACAACCTTGCTGCAACTTTTACTAATTATAATGATTTACCCATAGATCCTTTTGGATATTTTTCGTTCACAATCATATAATCTGTGAATAATGACATGCATAAGGTGCATGAACAAAGTCAGATTGTGGCAGTGAAAAGACTATTCATAATAGCCTTTTTCACAATTACTTCAAACTGAAAATAGTAGACATGCTAATCAACATTAGAATGGCTAAATTATGGTATATTTACACATACAACAATAAACATGAGTAAACTAGAGTTACATGCAACAACATGGACGACTCTAAGAAACAATATTGAATAAAAGGAGCAAGATACAAAGAATATATATAGTATGATTCCATTTACATTTTTAAAATGAACAAAGTAACTGGGACTTCTGGCCAAGATGGAGGCATAGGTAGATACATTTTGCCTCCTCACACAAGCAAAGGAAGGACAACAACAAATTAAAAAAAAAAAAAACCAGAACTGCCAGAAAATTGAACTGTATGGAAGTCCAACAACCAAGGTGCTAAAGAAGAAACATTCAACCAGATCAGTAGGAGGAGTGGAGAGGGGCAGCTGAGGTGGAGAGGACACATGGCAAGGTGGCTGCTGGAGGCCCAGGCAGTCCCACATTTGCATGCAGATAAACTGGATGAACACCTGGGAAGGGAGACAGACTGTGCAATCCAAGGTTCTAGTGTGGGAAAAGAAAGCCTCAAAACCTCTGGCTATAAAAAAATGGGGGTTGCAATGGCAGGAAAAACTCACAGGAGAGTCCACTGGAGACCCACAGGGTCCTAAAACATACACAAACCCACCCACCCAGGAATCAGCACTGTAAGGGCCCAATTTGCTTGTGCGTAGCAGGGGAAGTGACTGAAAGCCAGCTGAGAGCCGAGCGAGCAGCATTGTTTCCTCTTGAACCCCTCCCCCACAGACAGAGTCACAACTCAGTGACCTGGGTTGCCCCACCCTGGCAAATACCTAATGCTCTGCCCCTTCCAACGAATTCCAAGGTGCTCCGAGATAAAGAAATATGGCCCAAATGAGAGAACAGATCAAAACTCCAGAAAAAATACAACTAGGCAATGAAGAGATAGCCAACCTATCAGATGCAGAGTTCAAAACACTGGTAATCAGGGTGCTCACTGAACTGGTTTACTATGGTCGCAAAATGGAGGAAAAAGCAAAGGCTATGAAAAATGAAATAAAGAAAAACATACAGGGAACCAACAGTGAAGGGAAGGAGACTGGGACTCAAATCAACAACTGGGAACAGAAGGAAGAGATAAACATTCAACTAGAACAGAACAAAGAAACAAGAATTCAAAAAAATGAGGAGAGGCTTAGGAACCTCTGGGACAACTTTAAATGTTCCAACACCCAAATCATAGGGTGCTAGAAGGAGAAGAGGAAGAGCAAGAAATTGAAAATTTATTTGAGACAATAATGAAGGAGAACTTCCCCAATCTGGCCGAGGAAATAGACTTCCAGGGGATCCAGGAAGTTCAGAGAGTCCCAAAGAAGTTGGACGCAAGGAAGCACACACCAAGGCACTTCATAATTACATTACCCAAGATTAAAGATAAGGAGAGAATCTTAAAAGTAGCAAGAGAAAAAGAGACAGTTACCTACCAAGGAGTGCCCATTAGGCTATCAGCTGATTTTTCAGGCAACAAGGGGCTGGCAAGAAGTTTTCCAAGTTATGAAAGGCAAGGACCTACATCCAAGATTACTTTATCCAGAAAAACTATCAATTAGAATGGATGGGCAGATAAAGTGCTTCCCAGATAAGGTTAAGTGAAAGGAGTTAATCATCACCAAGCCCTTATTATATGAAACATTAAAGGGACTTATTAAAGAAAAAGAAGATAAAAAATTATGAACAGTAAAACAGAGGGGAGGGGGGATGGGGAAGAATGGGGAAAAGAAGTATAGGGAATAAGGAGCATAAGTAGAAAGTACAAAATAAGCAGGGGGGAGGTTAAGAATAGCATAGGAAATGGAGAAGCCAAAGAACTTATATGTATGACCCATGGACATGAACTAAGAGGGTGGGGAATGTTGGTAGGAGGTGGGGTGCAGAGTGGAGGGGAATAGAATAAAGGGGAGAAAAAAATGAGACAACTGTAATAGCATAATCAATAAAATATATGAAAAACTATAAAAAGAGAAACTGAAAAAAACAAAAAATAAAATAAGCAAAGTAACTATATTGTTTAGAGATATGTACATAATGGTAAAACTATTTTTAAAAAGCAAGGAAATTATTATCACAAAAATTAGGATTATGATTTTCTCTGGAAAGGAAGGAGGGTATTATGATTAGAAAGGACAAAAGGGGAGGTTATGGGGTATTGGCCATGTTCTATTTCTTGATCTTTATTGTGGGTACACGGGTGCTCACTTTATAATTATTAAACTATGTTCATGTTTTATGAAATATCCTATATGTACATTATACTTAACAATAAACATATTTCAAAAAGAACATTAAGACAAACATAAAATAATTTTTAATATTAAAAAATGTCTCCACTTCTAGGAACTAAAATGATTTTATATAAATTATATCTAAAGAATGCAGGGAAAATAAAACTTTAAAAAAGTTGCTCCTGGATCCAAGAGAAAGGTGTTTATGATAATTTTCAGACACTCTTTGGAATTTAGGATCTTTAAAAAGGACCTAAGAGGGCATAAATGTGTTCCTCGAAATAAATCTGTGAGGTTACTCTCTTTCAAACTTTCCTTTACGGGCAGTGGAAGTTAGCATTTGTTCATTCAATAATTTTTTATTGAGTTCCAGTTATGTGCTGGGCAAAATGAACAAATAAATGAATGAATATGCTAATCTGTTGAAAGTAATCTTGAACCAGAAGTCCGAGTCAATAGCTAAAGTATTTACTAAAAAAGTACGTATCATAAATATCTTTTAACTGTACTTTTAAAATTAAGTGCATGGGACCATCGTAATGCTGAATTTGAGGCTGACACACAGACGGGTAGTTTCACATAAGACAGAGACCTTATTTAATACAGAATGAGCTTCTAATCCTCCTGCCCATTTTCCCTCACATTTCAAACTCTGCCATTTCAGCATATAGGTAGTTCTAATTTTTCATGGTTCCAATATATATACAAATCTCAAATAAAATACAGTTTAAATAACAAGAGTACGTATCAACACATTTAAAATTTCAGCTACTGTAGAATACTGAGTATTCACACAAAGTACAGATCACAACTAGCTCTTCAGTCCACAAATCATTATGTAGATAATAGATACACATCATGATCAGTGATCAATTATGTAATTCTCCAAAGTTTGTCAGGTACTTGTCATTGTAGATCTCTTAGTTTAAGCACAGATAACAAAGTGTATAGTTGTTTTACCTCCTTGTTTCTTAGTAATAAGCCCATGGGACACTTTACAAAAATAGATCATTGAAAGAGGGAATTAGTCAGCAAAGATAAAAGTGTAGCAAAGAAAAGGTAAGTGATATAAGAGTAAAAGTGAATGTTGAGTCAAACATAAATGGAGTTATAAATGGAGAAGAAAGAGCTGATTGTGAGAATGTTGACAACATCATTTGATAGACTCTAGATCAACAGCCAGAGGAAGTTAGTG